TAATATAACTTCATTTTCTATGTGGGTTCAATCACTGAACTCACATCAACCCTTTGATTTTCTCTTACTACTATGGCCTTCCTCTATTAACATTTGAATTTTCACCCTTTTTCTCTTGCACCAAAAATATAGGGATTGTATCAAGCGAAATAAGAACTCTGTCAAAAACACCATATTGGAAATACTTATAATTGTTGTAGTTGGGTATAATTTGTCCTTCCAATTATTTTCTAGAGTTTGACATGCATTGTTCCTCCCATTAAATAGTGTTTTAAGGGTTGTTGTCCCTATGGCATCAATTACAACTCATTTTTTCTTACTTTATGTTTGTTGTTTAACCCTTAAGCTCTTCAAGTGTATTTACTGCTCTTTCCTTTATCTGAAGTTCATTGCGCAGAACACTCCGATCATTTTGTTTTCTTTTAAATTTCATTGGAAAAAATTATGAATTCAGAATTTAGCTTAAGAAATAAAATTTTCCTCTGTTTTGATTTTTTTTTTTTTTTTTTTTTTTTTGTTTATGAGAATCTTTTAAAGTTCTGAAGTCTTATATTAATTTTCTAAGTAAGAATTTGTCTACACTTTGGTACTTCATTTATTTTGCTAAGAAGAAGGGGTTTTAAATCTCAGTTATTGGTGATGTTAATAGTGTAATGCATCTTTTGAGCCTCTGTTAAGCAAGTTAAATTTCGAACTTGGAGATCAAATATAGACTTCTTTCCCTCTGATTTTTGTTCCTTTTTGTTTTGTGAATGTTACAGTTTAATTTTTTTTTTAAAAAATTTTGCTCTTTTTTTTTGGGTATGAGCTGATGTCATTTAAGTTGCAGTTTATATTCATTTTGAAATATATTCCCTGTTTATAGCATCTTGCTTTATTCACACAACAGTAATATGCTTTGTGACACATGTTATGCAAATTACTAGTTGGTTTTGGACTCTTAACCATTATCGTAAATTCATTATTATGTTTAACATTATCCGTTCTTTGTTTCAACTTACTAAATTTATTATTTTGGTTAGTCCCTGTGCCAACTTTTTAATGTGGTTGGGAGTCATGAAAAGTAACTATGTAGCTTGAGAGGGGTATATGTGAAGCTGGATTGGCTCTCCAACAATATTATCAACAAGGTAAATATTTACAAATTATTATTATTGATTTTTTTTTTCATTCAATTGGCATATCGTGTTGTTATGGTCAGAAGATATGAAAATCTCTCAAATAACCAAATGATAAAGAGTTTTAATTTAGATGAGTAGTGTATAGATGACCAGATTGTCAAGATTTTTTCTTATCAGTGTAATATTATAGGTGCATGGGCGTATGTTATTTTTACTCTCATCTCTCTCTTTCTCACTCATCTTTCGGTTTCATTCTCTCGCTCGGCCCTCTCCCCCTTTCTCTCGACAATCACTCATCTCTTCTCGCTCTCTCATCTCTCCCCTCTCATCTGGCTCTCCGTTTGAACTATAAACTTGGGCTGCTTTACTATTTTACTTTGATTTTACTTGTGGATTAACAGAACAGTTTTTGAATTTGAAGAAAAGAAATGTCATTTTTGTTGTCGGTTTTTCTTTGGGGTTCTTTGGATAAAATGCAAATTTTGTAGGGTGAAACTTGCTCTTAGTATTGTAAGATCTTTTAGAATTCATCAGTTAAAAGTTAATTGTAATGGCTGAAAGTAACGATAGCACAATAAATTTTTTTTTTTGGCTGAATTGATAGCACCATATCGCTTGAAAGAAACAGCTTTATGCCCTTTTTTTCTCTTCAGTTTCTTGTTTTGTTTGATCGGGCGTTAAAATTATTTACTAGGATTTGTGATTTGCAATTTCTGCCTAATATGTGAGAAAATCTATCTATATATACGAAATTGTAATGCGTTTACTATAGTTTCCCTTTTTACTGTTCAAACCTTTGTTAAGTAATTTTGTAGTTTAGTGCCTTTCTTCCCCTTATTTTCTTTCCTTGCTAGTATTTTTCTACTCGATTTCCTCTATCAAGGTTTGGTCAGCGGAATAGCTTTATTGCATAAAATTGTTTCTACAAAACTACTATAATATTATTAATATTATTAGTTAATGAGTTTAGATGTAGGTTTAATTACGTTTTTATGACCATAAGCATTGATTATTTCTTCTTACATATGCTACTTAAGAAGAAATTCTATTCGTGACATTTCTCGCTTTATGTTATTTATTCTTTTCCTGTTTTCTAATTGGACGAAGAAAATATCCATAAAAGCCTTAAAAGAGTTTGTTGTGATGATTTAAACTATATTTCAAATTATGGCGGGTTCATATGTTTCCTTTGTAGATCTCTCATTTTTGAAAACTCTTAAAGATGTTTCTTTTTTAATCTTATCGGCGAAGAACCTAGCGTTTGGAAATTACAATGTCGCTAAGGTACATCCTTGTCTTTCTGAGATCTGTTTCTTCTTTCCATCTTTTGTTTTGGTTTGTGATTCATAGGATTTTTTGTTTTGTTTTTGTTTTTTTACTATAGTTGTGCACTATCTGTTAGTTTAAACACTTGTTATTGTTTTTTAATTTTGTACTCGATCTTAATCCACATTATTGATTTTCATGAAATCTATTATATTTAACTTTGATTGCTTTCGATTTGTTCCATGTCTGTGTTAATTCATCCCGATCAATGTGATTTTACTTTCACTTTTTTTGATTGTTATCTAACTTTGTAAGGTCTCATAATTTTAATTCTCTTCTAATTGATCATTACAATCTTTCATGTTTAGTTATCCATATCTTCATAAACAGTGTTGTTATTAATTGATATTATATATGCTTTCTCATTGATATTAAATCAATAAATGCTTGTGCTGATGTTTTTTCTACACATATTAAATTCAACCACACCATTCTTTTCTTCTTTATTATTACACCGTACACCTTTATATTAATCTTTACATTCATTATATTGTTTTGCTTTATTCCTAATTCTAAATTCATAACATATTTTGTCCTTTCTTTGCTTCTGATTTTTTGTTTTGTTTGTTTTTTTTTTTATTATCTCAATAATAGTCTCATTCAATATGAGTTTAAACAAAAGTATCGCGAACACTATAAATTTGTTATGATAATAAGAGGTTTTCATAGGCCTGATATTTTTTCTGCTATTATTGGTGATCATAACCAGACAAGGGAAGACAAGCATGCTTGTGGCATGTGGCCTTACCGGTATGGAATTAGCTGAATGAACAAGCGCTTGTTATCAAGAGATTTTACAAGTACAGCTGATGTGGAGTTAAGAATTTATGTCGATACAAATGCCATGGAATAAAAATTGGGTAATACTATCCCTTGATGATAAAAAAAAAATCTATTTATTGTTGTATTTATTTAGCACAGTAATTTTGAGGCTAAACATGTTTTTGGTAATTCACGTGTTAAGCCCATTAAACTACATGTCATGTCATATTAGTTAAACTGCTATTTCTCTCCATTTACAGATTTGATTTACATGTTTGTAATTTAAAAAAAAAAAGGGAAAAATCTTTGGGCGTTTGACTCCATTTGCAATATGAAGTTGATTTTGTTTTGTTATTAGTTATTTGAACTTTTTTCATTGTTGTTGCAATTTTGGAATGTCAATTTTAATGTAGACATTTTATCTTGGAAATTAGAAGGTTACATTTTCTTTTTTTTACATAACTAGCATTGTTTCATATCATGACTAGAATGATGAAATCAAACCAGCTTTCAAAGCAATTGAGGAAAAAATACATAATGTCATCTGTTAAAATTGGAGTGCATAAAACTGATGCAATTCTTGTGGTGATTGTTTGTGTTTTTTTCCCTGATAATGATAAGAATTCTAGAACCAGATTGACATTTATTCAACGAATACAGCTGGAACAGCAAGATTGTTGCACATCTGATCACGCAAGGCCCACTCTATCTCCTTCCCCTTATCATTGTAGTTGCATCTTCAGCTTATTTCTTATTTCTTCCTCTCTATATGTTGGCAAATAAGTTATACATTTTAGTATTTTTTTAGTTACTTCTACAAAGAATTTATCATGATATATGACTGTTATTTTTGTTTACCTTTTTTTTTTCTCTAAGTGGTGTACTAAATGATTTTCTGTATGGTTTGCTAGATGGTTTTATTCATGGTTTGCTAAATGGTCTACTTAATGGTTTGTTATATGGTTTTATTCATGGTTTGCTGAATGGCTTTATCTAATTGACTTACTAATGGATATGCTTATTAAATGATTTTATTGAATATGCATGCTAAATATGCTGACCGAACATACTTCTTCGATGCCATTATAAAATATTCTTGCTCAATTTGCATATTCAATGCGCTTCTTAAATACACTTCTAGAGGACTAACGTATCACTGTTCATTTGCCATGGAATGAAAGTTTCTTTCTTTTTTTTTTTTTTCCCTTCAAATAGCTTTAATGGTTGTCTTTGAATGACTTAAATACTGGTTTTTGGTTTAATCTTGGATGTTACTATAAAAAATTCGAATGTTTTTGTTTGACCCATGGATGACACAAGAATATGAATATTCAAAATTAGTTATGTGATGTCCGCCATTTAAAATTCATTATTTAACATGCTACTTATGGCTTGTAAGGCAATAAAAATTTGAGACTGCGTGAATTCATTATGTAATGATCATGAATTGACTTGGTTGTAATTATGTTAGAATACTCATTCCTAGTAACATAGTCCTATCATGTTTACAAAACAAATTTATTTTTTTTACTCGTCATTTATTTATTGAAAATAAAAATAATAAAATTCTATTTTTATAATGGAATTCAAGACCTCAAAATTAGTCTTTAAATAAAAAAATTAACTCTCATATTGAGCCTCACACGTGCGAAGCACGTGGGCTCCAACTAGTAACTGTATGAGAAAGCACAGTTTGCTTACTGTGCACTTACTCACATTTCACTGTTTAAAGTTTTTGTTTATGTATTTTGTCGTTTTCTTGAATTTTTCTCTCTCTGACTCTTTCTTTCTCTCTGCCTCTTTCTCTATCTTCCTCTACGCTGATGCTCTCTCCAAGCGGCTCTTACTGTCAGCGACAAGAGCTTCATCCCCTTTCGTCTTCCTCTTTCTCTTCTTCTGTTACTCGCCTTGCTTCTGATACAGAGACCAATTGTTTTCTTACAAGGTAAAAAACTTCACTTTTTGGGCTTGCACTGATCAACATTTTCATCAAGGCTTCACATCTTTCTTGTATATAGGAAGGTTATTTCATTCAGTTTCCTAGGGAAAATGCTTCGTTTGTGGACTAATGAGCAATATTAGGCATATAATTTCAATTTTTTTTTCTCTCTTCTATTATCCCACCTAAATAGGAAGGTTCTTTCATTCAATTTCCTAGGGAAAATGCTTCGTTTGTGGACTAATGAGCAATATTAGGAACGTAGTTTCACTCTTTTTTTTTTTTCTCTTCTCTTTTCCCACCTAAATCGATGCAACGATTATGATGTTTGTGTTAACTATAAAGATGTGTATATCCTGTTCCATTTTGCTTGCTTCATTGTCTCTTGAGGAAAAGAGTAATTTTGAGACAAATTATGAGTATTTCATTATGGGTAATTATATATAGTAATTTGAAAAATTGTTATTTCTTACAGAAATATCAAGAACCAAAAGATAAATTCCTCAAGCTAACTATTCCTTGAAAGTTCACTCATACTCCTTGTTGTCAGAAGCTGAAGAATATGAAAGTGGTGCCTTTGAATCCGACAGCTTCAAAGGTGAGATTTTCTAATTCCTTCTTGTGTGTGTGTGTATTTGTTTTTTTTTTTTGGTACTAGAAATCAAGCACAATGCATTTAGCTGTTTTGGGTTACCGCGTTTCTTAATTCTACTCTCCATGAACAAATTTGAAACTTTATTGAAAGAGAGTATTCATTTGTTATTTGTTAGCTTTCATTTGTTTTTGAAACAAAATTAAGAAAGAAAAAGGTTAAAAAGAAAATAAATGAAAAGCAAAGTAATAAAACCAAAGATTTTCCTCATAGCAGAAAATTTAGTTCATGTAGTTAAGTGGAGGTACTGATTTTTAGTCATCTCAGTGTACATGTCTAACGTGATTTAGATTGAGGAGGATACCATTTTTCCCCTTTTTTAAAGGTAGGCAGATACAATTTGTAATACAGAACATCTGTTTCCATTTTGATTTGATGTGTTTGTATCTTTCTGTAGTGGGAAGTTCAGAGATTCCATGTATAAATTTTTTTCATAAAGCTAGCTAACATGAGTTAAAAGACAAATGACAACCGAAAATGTTGGATTTGGATTTGTCCCTTATGAATATTTGAATAGGGCTTTGGTTTTTCAAGGCAGTTATTATGGTTGTTATAATCTACATTGCTTAACTCCATAATACTAATGCGATTTAGAATGTGTACAAGTGCGATCAATATTTCTCTACATGTCACCTACAATAAAAGCAGGACAAAGAGAGGAAAAATTGTATATGATCTTTCTTTTACTTTTATAAGCCTGGCTTTTTGTCTTTCATAACTGTTGAGATATAATCCCAGTACACAAAATAGATCAGATCAGCTGAATTGAATCCATTTGCAAAACCAATAACATTCAAAACAAATTACATTAACGAAGCTAAGAAATTCAAGCATGCTTAAGCTGCTTCTTTGTAGTGGCCAACACAACCGAATTGCCAATACAATTTAAATCAGTTAAAAAACAGAAAGACACATGTTTAAATTTCATTACCTTAGTAACAACTACTATAGGAATCGACCCAGCAAGATCACAAATCTGAGTCAGTGGATCCTTTTCGGTGATAATTTCATTGTCATTGACGACGCCGTCTCAGCCATGGCTCCAGCTGGGAAGGATTCTGGGTTTCACGGAGAAGGAAATGAATGGTACTTTCTCTAATCAAAAACTTCGTTGCATAACGTTACATAATAACCCATTTCTTTTTTTTTCTTTTCTTTTATTAATAAAATGCATTCTTCATGTTTCCGTGTACCAGTGTTCTATTATTATGGTCATAGATTAACAAACGTGAGAAGATTCTTCTTTCCAATTTTCGTGCTGTAGCAGCAAAATTCAATTTTATCTCTCAGTTTCTCTTATGCACACTGCACATCCAGTCTCAGTTGTTTTTGTTCGGCCATTTGGTAAGTCCATTCCCAAATTCTCATCTCTATGTTCCAATTTTTTGCTCTGTCCTTAGGATTTATCCTTTCCACTATTTAGTAAAGAAAACATTGCTTGGTTCTTTACAAATCCAATCTGGTTGATGCATTGGTATTTTTTTCTTTCCTCGGAAACTTGTTTTCTAATTTGAATTTATCAATTGTGTCTTCCTTTTTAAATTGAACTTTTCATGTGTTTTTCGATTTTGATTGAGATTAGCTGGTAGAGTTGATGTCCTATTAATCGAGAATATAAGTTTTGCCACGCAAAAAACTGTGAACAACTTGTCTCGTTCTTGCGGTTTTGATTTATTGTTCTTTGGATATTATTATCGTTATCTGCACAACGTGGATTCTTGGAACGAACAATAATTTAACTTTTGGACACTTAAGTGACCCACAAAGAAATAATTATTTGTTTTTGTTAGGATTCTAGTCTCTACTGCTGAAATTAGCTAACAATAGTTGGCTGAGAATTGGCAATAGCCTTCTTTATTGAATTTGAATTACTCCAATAACATCAAGAGCTTCAACGTAGCTCTGAAGACGATGGAAATGAAGGAAAATTACAGGAAAGAGGGATTTTCGAGGAATCCCACAACCTCCCAGCGATCAATTCGAACACCAAATTCGACACACATCCCCTTCCTCGATGCTCCCCATATAACCACCGATCCTCTAACCAATTTCGCGCACCTCCCCACATGGGCCCTTCGTGCTTGCCACGCTCCCTTCCTGATCTATCTCATTTGGGCCAGGGCCCATCCCAATTCCTCTCTTGGCCCTCCTAACATAAACCTTCCGTACCGGAGGTCTAACAGTTTTCTTCCCTATTGATTATTGAAACAAGTTTTTTTGTTAGTGTTGATGTTGTTAAAACTTCGTCTTAAATGTAATTTAAATAAATTGTTTGATGTAGGTTCTGACAGTATGTTAATTTCAGAAGAGTGGTAGTTGGAATCTCTGTCTTCCGAGCGATGTTATTTTCATTGCACTTGGTTACTCATACCCCTTTGGCACCTTTTAATGGAATGTTATTCCACTCATTTTTCTGAAAAAAAGAAAATTAAAATAAAATAAAATAAAGAAGAAGGAAAAGGATTCTCCTTCCTTATAGCTTATGTCTTTTAGCATCTGTTCCATTACTACATATTACAAACTTAAAGTTTTGTTTTTTTTTTTTCTCTTCTTTTCCTTCTAATAGTAAACGTTCTTAAATTTAATATAGCATTTAGATATTAATATATTGTTATTGTCTTTCTTGTATCCCCGTTAATCCATTTCGAAGGAACTTAGAGCCCGTTTGGTTGGAAGATTCATTCTCTGATTCGAATCATGGTTCACGGTTCGCTACAGTATTTTCTCTCACAAAAAATACACGTAAATCGAAAATGGTTCTAATCCATGAACCAAACGGGCTCTAGATGTTCCAATTTTTGAAATGTTGCATAAAACTTAATTTTATGCGTTTGTTATGTTAGACTTAAGGTTTGTGTTTTGTATTTCTATGGAATGATTACATTTTTTTTTTGTTTTTCTTTCATTTTTTTTTTCAAAGTCTTATTACAAGACCAGGTGTCCACCATGCATTCCTTAAATTTTCAGTAAGGTACGCTAGATGTAGAAACAATTTCTTCATTAGCTTCGTATTTATCATTGTTTGTACTTAGTCTTAGCTATTCTATTCCAGATGTTGGTGTTAGATATTATTATCCAAGGCTTAGATTTATGACCAATTACTTTATTATTTGCCTCTAAGTACGCTTCTCTTATTATTTTCTTTATTTCAAACAGCAGATTACCAAAAAGGAATCCTGGACAAAAATATTCAGGACTGGGTACCTCCTTAGTTTAAAAAATGTTGTGCGGAAGGGCTGCTAATGGTAAAGATAACCAACCATTTCATTGAAGTATGTGACATGAATTGTTTATAGAAGCTTGCAAAAAAAGGGCATCAAAAAATGACAAAAAAAAGTAAAACTCTGTCAAAAAGCTCCCGTCCCACTATGTGGGGGCGCGCAGGGGCCAATACGGGTAAAAAATTTATAGTTTTATTTATGTTTTGTATTCTAAAATTAATATACGATTTTTAAGAATTAATGTAATAAGTGGCTTCATTTTTTTATAAATATTCTATTTTTTATTATTTTCTTTATTTTTCATCTTTGAAAAATAAAACAAAAAAAAATCGACGTCAAAAAATTATGAAATTTTACAAACACGATCCTCACATTTTTCTAGTCATGCCTACAAAAAATGACAAAAAAAAAAGAAAAACGTTGTCAAAAAGTCCCCGGCCAGCGTAGTGGGGCGTCCAGGGGCCGGGATGGATCAAAACTTTATATTTTTATTTATGTTTTGCATTCTAAAATTAATAAACGATTTTTAAGAATTAATGCAACCAGCGGTATTATTTTTTTTTGATAAATATTCTATTTTTTCTGATTTTCTTTATTTTTGGTTTTTGAAAAATAAAATAAAATAAAAACGATGTCAAAAAATTATGAAATTTTGTAGACATGATCCTCGCATTTTTTTGGGCACGCCTGCAATAAATGGACTCAAAGAATAGTAAAAAAAAAGTAAAACACTGTAAAAAGCTCAGGGCACACGTAGGGGTGCGCACAGGATAGAGATGGGTAAAAATTTACATTTTTATTTATATTTTGCATGCTAAAATTAATATGTGATTTTTAAGAATTAATGCAACAAACGACATAATTATTTGATGAATATTCTATTTTTTTATGATTTTCTTTATTTTTCATTTTGACAAATAAAATTAAATAAAAACGACCTTAAAAAATTATGAAATTTTATAGATACGATTCTCACATTTTTCTGGGCATGCATGCGAAAAATTGCTGCAAAAAATGACAAAAAACAAAAGAAAAACGCTGTAAAAAATCCCCCGGCCCGCGTAGTGGGGCGCTAGGGGCCGGGATGGGTCAAAATTTTATATTTTGATTTATTTTTTGCATTCTAAAATTAATATACGTTTTTTAGGAATTAATGCAACAAATGACACCATTTTTTGATGAATATTCTATTTTTTATGATTTTCTTTATTTTTAGTCTTTGAAAAATAAAATAAAATAAAAACGACGTTAAAAAATTGTGAAATTTTGTACACACGAGCCTTACATTTTTCTGGGTATGATTGCAAAAAAAATGGCATAAAAATGACAAAAAAAGTAGAACCCCGTCAAAAAGCCCCCGCCTTGCGTAGTGGGGCGCCCAGGGGCCGGGATGGGTTAAAAATTTATAGTTTTAATTATGTTTTGCATTCTAAAATTAATATATGATTTTTAGGAATTAATGCAACAAGCGACACTATTTTTTGATAAATATTCTATTTTTTATGATTTTCTTTATTTTTCATCTTTAAAAAATAAACAATAATAAAATCGACGTAAAAATATTATGAAATTTCGCATACACGATCCTCACATTTTTCTGGACACGCGTACAAAAATGGCCCCAAAAAATGACAAAAAAAAAGAAAAACGCTGTCAGAAAGCCCCCGGCCCGCGTAGTGGGGCACTCAGGGACCGGGATAGGTAAAAAATTTACAGTTTTATTTACGTTTTGCATTCTAAAATTAATATATGATTATTAGGAATTCATGTAACCATCGACATCATTTTTTTATGAATATTCTATTTTTTTATGATTTTCTTAATTTTTGGTTTTTGAAAAATAGAATAAAATAAAAACCATGTCAAAAAATTATGAAATTTTGTAGATACAATCCTTATATTTTATGGGCATGACTCAAAAAGTGACAAAAAAAGTAAAACACTGCAAAAAAGTCCCCGACATGCGTAGTGGGTAAAAAATTTACATTTTTATTTATGTTTTGCATACTAAAATTAATATGCGATTTGTAGGAATTAATACAAGAAACGACACCATTATTTGATGAATATTCTATTTTTTATGATTTTTTTTCGTCTTTCAAAAATAAAATAAAGTAAAAACAACGTCAAAAAATTATGAAATTTTGCATACACGATCATTACATATTTCTGGGCGTGCATGGGAAAAATGGCTTCAAAAAATGACAAAAAAATAAAAAATGTTGTTAAAAATCTCCCGGCCCGCATAGTGGGGTGCCAGGGGCCGGGATGGGTCAAAAATTTACATTTTGATTTTTTTTACATTCTAAAATTAGTATACGATTTTTATGAATTAATGCAACAAATGACACCATTTTTTTAATGAATATTCTATTTTTTTTTATGATTTTCGTTATTTTTCTTCTTTGAAGAATAAAATAATATAAAGGCAACGTTAAAATATTATGAAATTATGTAGACACGATCCTTACATTTTTCTGGGCCTGCCTGTAAAAAATGGCATAAAAAATGACTAAAAAAGTAAAACGCTATCAAAAAGCCCCCGCCCTGTGTAGTGGGGCGCCCAACGGCCGGGATTGGTATAACATTTACACTTTTATTTATATTTTGCATTCTAAAATTAATACATGATTTTTAGGAATTAATGCTATAAGTGGCGCCATTATTTGATGAATATTCTTTTTTTTTTATGATTTTCTTTATTTTTCATCTTTAAAAAATAAAATAAAATAATACGACGTCAAAAAATTATGTAATTTTACAGACACGATATTTACATTTTTCTAGGCATGCCTGCGAAAAATGGCTTCAAAAACTGACAAAAAGAAAAAAGAAAAATGTTGTCAAAAAGCCCACGACCCGCGTACTGGGGCGCCAGGGGCCAGGATGGGTAAAAAATTTACATTTTCATTTATGTTTTGCATTCTAAAATTCATATACAAGTTTTAGGAATTAATGCAATAAAGAATGTCATTTTTTGATGAATATTCTATTTTTTATGATTTCCTTTATTTTTCGTATTTAAAAAATAAAATAAAATAAAAACAACGTTAAAAAATTATGAAATTTTGTACACACGATCCTAACAGTTTTCTCGGCATGCCTGCATAAAAATGGCATCAAAAGATGGTAAAAAAGTAAAACTCTGTCAAAAAGCTCCCGTCCCGCGTAGTGGGGCGCCCAGGGGTCAGGATAGGTAAAAAATTTACAGCTTTTTTTATGGTTTGCATTATAAAATTATTATACAATTTTTAGGAATTAATGCAACAAGCGGCATCATTTTTTTGATAAATATTCTATTTTTTATGATTTTCTTTATTTTTCATCCTTGAAAAATAAAACAAAATAAAACTAAGATAAAAAAATTATGAAATTTTGCAAACACGATCCTCACATTTTTTTGGGCATGCCTACAAAAAATGGCCTAAAAATGACAAAAAAAAAAAAAACAGAAAAACGCTGTCAAAAAGCCTACAGCTTGTGTAGTGGGGCGCCCAGGGGGTGGGATGGGTCAAATATTTACATTTTTATTTATGTTTTGCGTTCTAAAATTACTATACGATTTTTAGGAATTAATGCAACCAGCGGCACCATTTTTTGATAAATATTCTATTTTTTATGATTTTTTCTATTTTTAGTTTTTGAAAAAGAAAATAAAATAAAAACGATGTCAAAACATTATGAAATTTTATAGACACGATCCTTACATTTTAATGGGCATGCCTGCGAAAAATGGACTCAAAGAATGATAGAAAAAGTAAAACACTGTCAAAAAGCTCCCGGCACGCGTAGTGGGGCGCCCAGGGGCCGGATGGGGTAAAAATTTAAATTTTTTTATGTTTTGCATACTAAAATTAATGTACGATTTTTAGGAATGAATGCAACAAACAACACTATTATTTGATGAATATTCTATTTTTTTATGATTTTCTTTATTTTTCATCTTTGAAAAATAAAATAAAATAAAAATGACGTCAAAAAAGTATGAAATTTTGCAGACACGATCCTCACATTTTTTTGGGCATGCATACAAAAAATGGCATCAAAAAATGACAAAAAAAGAAAAACGCTGTCAAAAATCCCCCGGTGAGCTTATTAATGAAAAATCAGCTTCTTTAGATGCCTTCAAAATTTTCAAGGCCTTTATTGAACTAAGGAAAGACAAGAAAATTAAGGCAGTTAAATCTGATAGAGGTGGTGAGTACTATGGCAGATTTGATGAAACTGGACGTAATCCTAGTCCTTTCGCGAGGTATTTGCAAGAGTGTGGTATTGCTACTGAGTATACAATGCCAGGGACGCTTGAACAGAATGGAGTTGCTGAAAGGAGAAATCGGACGTTGGTGGACATGGTGTGGTCTATGTTATCACTTACTTTGCTAGAGTTCCTTTGGGGTGAAGCCTTAGTTCTAAAGACTCCGCATGAGCTGTGGTCAGGAAATAAGCCAAGTTTATGCCATTTTCGTGTGTGGGGATGCAAAGTAGAGGTGAAACCTTATAATCCTCAGTTGAAGAAACTTGATCCCAAGACAGTTAGTGAATATTTTATTGGCTATTGTATTGGCTCAAGAGGTTCCAGATTCTATTGTCCATCTCATACCACCAGAGTGATAGTGTCAGATTGGGCGGTGTATTTTGAGGATGACGATGGTAGTGCAAGTCATGCACCTCGAGAAATTACGTTGCGAGAAGAGTGTGTCATCATTCCTGTGGCCACTGTTCCTACTTTTGTGGCAACGTTTGCACCTGTTGATGAACCGGTGGTTGCCAATGATGAGCCCATTGAATAGACACCAACAGTGATTCCCAGTATAGCTACAGGTGATGTGTTTTTTAGGAAATCCCAGAGAGAAAGAAGACCTGTAATATCAAATGACTATATGGTGTACTTGCAAGAACACGAGTTTGATGTTGGCAATTCTTCTGATCCAGTTACCTATCAGGAGGCTATTGACAGTTTGCAATCCTTTTACTGGTTGGATTCT